CCCCGCAGGTGGGCGGCGCGGTGCGCGAGATCTCGGGCTTCGCCACCACGTACCGGCAGCTGCTGAGCGTGGAGCCGGGCGCGCCGGGCCGCGGCAGCTGCTTCCGACAGAAGCGCGGCTTCCACCACGAGCTGGTCGGCTTCCCCGGCTGCGTGGTCACCGACGGCGTGGTCAACTTCTTCCTGGCGCGCACCGACAAGGTGCGGGAGGTCGGTTTCGACCCGCGCCTCAACCGCGTGGCGCACCTGGGTGAGTGGCGCCCCCTCCCGGCCGGGCCCGCCCCTGCCGGGCGCTGGCCGCCGGCTCCTGCCGGCCGTCGCGGCTCCCCGGCTCCCAAGGTCTGCGCCTGCCGCGGGAGACCGAGGCCCCACTCGCCAGGCCCCACATAGCCGCGAAAAGCCCTAAACCCAAGGCGGGCTCTGGGTCCACCTGACGCCCCTTGGCTGGCTAAGGGGGAGCCGCCACCTCCCGCCCACTCCTCGCTGCTCTGCCCGCTCCAGACACACGCCTGCTTGGCATTCACCCACCCTCCCTGTGTGTTGGCAAGGGGAGGGTCATCTGATTTCAGAGCACAAGACAGATTTTAAAAAAGATTTGTTTACTTGTGCACACGAGAACTGGGGTACAGGCCAGAAGTGCGGGGGCGAGAGGGTTCACGACACAGAGCCGGGAGCAGAGCTGGCGGATCTACTGAAGCACACTGCTGAGGGGGGACGGGGGAGACAGGAGGGGGCTGCTGCGCCCTGGGGGTCACCCCCTGGCCGGGGATCGAACTCGTGCTGCAGTGGCTGCGAGCAGCTTCACAGTGCTGAGACTCACCCCCTGTGCCACCAGGGAGGCCCCATAAATTTACTGACTCCGTTTTACACAAGAGTGAAATTAAGACCCTAAAGAGGGCCAGCCCCGAGGTGCGTGGAAATGGAGTCTTTGCACGGCGGCATGCTGCACACCCCAGATCTCAGCTGTCCCGGGGCGCACCCTCAGGACCCTTCGGCGCTCTCCCCTCCCCCACGCAGAGTTCTTCCTGGATGGCCTCGGCTCGCTTCGGGTGGGCTCCTGCTCAGATGTCATCGTGGACCACGCGTCCAAGGTGAAACTGCCCTGGACGTCGAGGGACGCCAGTGCGGACACCTATGCCCAGTACCGGTACCCGGGATCCCTGGACGAGAGCCAGGTGGCCCGGCAGCGCCTGCTGTTCTTCAAACACCGGCTGCAGTGCATGACCTCGGAGTGAAGCCTTCCCACACCCGGACCTGCCTCCTGCCCTGGGCCCCCCGCCACGCTTCCACCCCAAGGCGCAGCCTCCCCTCTCCCCTCCTCAGAACCTGATCCCAAATAAGGCTTGTCCTGGTGCCACTGCTCCTCCTGCCAGTGCCCAGGGCTGTGCTGGAGCTGGAACAGCCCACAGCCCGTGCCAAGGCCTCCCCACCCCTTCTAAGGGGCAGGAAGTGGGGGGGTCACTCTCCAAGTGCCAAAGAGCCCCGGGGACTCTCAGAATCTAAAGTGGAAACACTCTTCCGCTCATCTCCTTGGACTGAGGGGTTGGGAGCCCCCAATATGTATTTGCAGGGCTGTGTCCCCCATTCCCACCTCTGGATCCAGGACTCTGCATTGGGTCCACTCCCCCACCCCAGGGAGCAACCTGGTGACTCTGGAGCTGGGGTGGGGGTGAACACACAGCAGAAAGTTGTTTGTAGTTGTGTGTCTACAGTGCTGTGGGCAGGGAGGAAGGGGCGCCAGGGGGTCCTGCGCAGAGCCCAGACTCACTTCAGGCACCCCAGAGGCTCTCAGCTTCATTTTATTAGTTTCATCAACTAAGTGGCCTGGGGGGCACAGCCTTCCTCACCCCCATACAGTTAGGGCCCTTCACACTCCACATGATCAGGTCAGACCCACACTGTGCAAGTCTTTGGACCAGTCAGCTCCTGGGAAAGGGAGGGAGGGACGCATCAGTCAGGAAGAGACCTCCCCCCCAAGATCAGGAACAGACAGGTGCCCCTCCCCCCAAGATCAGGAACAGAC